TAAAGAATTACAACCTTGGAAACCTTATTTAGGGTTACATTATGTCGGAGCCGACTCTATGGCACTTAACAACAACAACATTAGTGACAAATGAAAAAATCTTTATAATAGTTTGAACATTTTAGTGTGTCTGAGTGCCACAATTATTTTTAAGTATAGTCTTTGCACGAAGGAAAGTACAATACAATTTCATTTAACGTTCTCTGAAAATGTGTCATTTCCTGAGAAATTTAATCTTGTTTTATTTTTTTATTTCCTGAAAAAATCTTTTTTAATATCTTGTATTTGAAATTAAGTGGTGTCAGGAAACTAGGAAAAAATTAAAAGTGGTTGCTAGGAGTAAAGAAAGGCAGGCATCAGATAACCACATAGACTCTTTGTAATTTAAAAAAAAAAAAAGGATTTCCTAATAACAAGTTTCACTTTTCTAATGCACTGGACATTTTACCAATTGTAGTCTAAATAGTTACTTAAATCTTAAGTAAACTCTACATACAGTTTTAAGTGAATGATTGTACAAAGAGACCTCAAAAAATCATGGAAAATTGGAGTTAAAAAATCATGGAATTTTTCCATGAACTGCTTGAAGCCCCCTCATATGTAAATAAAGAGAGTGGCAGAGGCAGACAACGGATCCATAAAGTCCTTTTGAATGGCAAGTATTTTGTATTAGTTTTTACTATTTTCTTCTGTACATTGCTCAATATATTCAGCACTCTATTCTTAGGTATGCTTGTAGTTAAGTGGCATCGAGTCGGTTCTGACTTGTAGAGACCCTACATAGGATTTCAAGAAGTGGCTGGTGAGTTTGAACTGCCAACCTTGTAGATCAAATCGACCTTGTGATCCAGCATGACACTGGGATAAAAATGGAGAACTATTGGACACATTATTAATCCTGGAGGAGCTATTTAATTTTACAAGGTTAAAATGGAGAAATGCATATTCGTCTCAGGATACCAAATTAATAAATATGTTTATTAGTAAAATATATTTTATATTGTGGATCAGAAAAAATATAGCCAAATAACCAAGGAAGGTCATGTAGAGTAATATTTTGTTCATGCTTTACATTTTTCTTTTATGTTTTACAAAGCTTTCAAAGTAATTTGGGGGATAATATTTCCTAGTTCAATAATTTATTCTATTATATATTTTTTATATTTTAAGGAATTGGGGCAAATTTATTTAAAGAATGACTCTTTAAAATCTTTTAATGAAGGCTAGGTAGGAAACCCATTCTCTCTTCATAGTTTAAATTTCTTGAAGTGGAATTTTGGATTAAAAACTATAATTTTAATAGAAACAAACAGTCCTCCAAACCGATTATGTGCATTTTTTCCTCCTAGCAAATGTTTTGAATTTGATTTCTGCTGTAATATAGAAATATTTTGACTTAAAGAATAATAAGTGCACTCAAGTCTTCATAAATGTCCAGTGATGAGTGAAGCTATCTTTATTCTCACACCTTGCTACACACTATTTTAAGCCTGACTAAAAGATGAGGCGTTCTGCTCCCGTAAAGATTTACAGCCTCGGAAACCCTGTACAGGGTCGCTATGAGTCGGAACCGACTCGACGGCACACAGCAACAGCAACAACAACAACAATCTGATGGTATACATATGATTTCTGCATTCTTAGCCAAATCGAATCAGTTCAAGTGACTATCATAATTTTTTGTTAATGTGTTTGTTCATTTTTAAATAAAGAAATTTAAAGGAAACTTTTGGTATTTATCTTAGAAATGACTTGTCTGGAAAATAAATTTAAAAAATTTAAAAAATTCCGGGTATAAATTTTTAAAATGTGTCATCATTACAATAACAATGTTTCATAATGTTTCACCAGTATGTGACTGTGTCATTCACAATTAGTATATCAGATTCTAATTAATACTTAGTAAAATATGAAATGGAGCTCTGGTAGCATAGTGGTTACGAATTGGGCTGCGAACCTTAAGGTCAGCGGTTCGAAACTACCAGTCGCTCCGCGGGAGAAAGATGAGGCTTTCTACTCCCGTAAGGATTTACACCCTTGGAAACCCTGTACAGGGTCGCTATGGGTCGGAACCGACTCGAAGGCACTTAACAATAACAACAAAAATATGAAATAAAACAAATAATAACCTAAGTAACAAATAAAACTTTCTAAAATTTAATTAGATGTCCGTTGTTGCTCAGTGTGAATTAAAGAGTCAAGGTAACTGAAGCAGTAGAATAGATTGGGTGTTAATGAAGTCTATCTAGATCATAAATAAACGTCATTATTTGTTTGGTAGAATATTACTATAAAATTCATGAATGTTTAAAGAAAAGTAGGATGTTCCTCTTTTTCCTGATGTTTTGTTTGTTAACATAAATATTCATGATATGTGCGTATCAGTTTAAGTTATCTATGTGAATATAAATTTTCATATAACTGGCCACTTGATGTTTATTGGATCATGCTTTTGAATATGAATTCACTGGTTTCTCAGATACACTATGGACCTGACCCAGCTCATGAATATTCACACATACACACTGATCTTTCTGAAAGTAATCACTTTCATAAAAATGAAAATCTTCTTAGTTTTCAATAATGGGAACTGCATTAAGATGCTGGTCCCAGAACAGTTTTACAATCTCTTTGTTGTTACTGCTTTACTTTTTTTGAAAATTATATCCTTAGAAATAAAACCACATATACTGTTCATCTTTTTTTTGGTAGAAATTATTTTTTTCTTTAACCTTTAAAGAATCTTACATATGAATTAATCATATATTTAGTTTCCTTTATCTGTTTCAATAACATAAAAGAGTAGAAAAAAATTAGGCAGTATTGCCAATCATTGTCCTAAGCACATTTCCACTGTTCAGGTTTGCCATAATTTTCAAATGCAGACTGACCCAATTTGATAATCTGCTGATGTGGTATGGTACACACTTTTTATATGAATAAAAAAAGATATGAAAGTATCTAAGTTATTTTTTCATAAGTCAAATTTAATATTCTGGCCAATTAAGTATTTAATGTGTTGTACTAGAATGCTATGATTATGAGGTCCATAGTTATTAATTTTACACTTTTTAACCCATATAATATTCAGACTTGTAATTCCTTCTCTTTCATTACAAGTGACATATACTTGGACTCCCTTGTCAGGATCAGTCAGTAATTGCAAACAGCTATCAAATTAAGCACGATGCTTTAAATATTATTGAATTAAACAGATAAAAAAAAAAAAACCAGCTACAAAACAAAATTATCATTCATATTTATAGCATGTCAGGTAGTTTCTATTTGAAATCCTGATAGTGTCAACCCTTTAAACATGAATTTCTTTGTCAAAATAGTATGTTTGTATGAACACAATCAATAAACCAATATCAATGGCAAGCATTTTATTTTAACTCTGATAACAGAACAAATGGTATTAGTATACCACGAATAACCATCAAGAGTAGCTGGTAGTTGTGGTTTTCAAGTCATGTTCAGAGATACTCTATATATTTGCTCAGCATTGCCTCTGAGGAGAAGGAAGCCTGTTCCCCAGCCCTCCTCAGTCAGGACACCTCTGCAATTGTCTGTTTTATGTATCTTAACCAGGAGTGCTTTTGTCCTCCCGGGAACAGATGGCAATGTCTGGTGACAGCTTTGCTTCTCACAATTGAAGGAATAGTACTGGCATCTAGTGGACTGAGACCAGAACTGCTGCTTAATATCCTACAATGCCCACACAACAAAGAATTGCACACCCATATTGTCAACAGACAGCGTTGTACCTCATGACTGATCTGGATATGTTCTTTTTGACAATGAATGCAACACCATTCCTCTTTAATTTGTCATTTCCAACATAGTAAACCATGTGGTCATCAGATTAAAAATGTCCACTACCAGTCCATTTCAGCTCAGTAAATGCCTAAGATATTGATGTTTATGCATTCCATTTCATTTTTGACAACTTCCAATTTTCCCAGATTCATACTTCGTACATTCCATGTTCCAATTTTTAATGGATGTTTACAGCTGCTTCTCTTCATTTTGAACTGTGCCCCTTAGACATTAACAACTTGCAATATGAAGATCTTACAATCTTGCTTGCTAAAAGTGAAGAGAACTTAAAACATTTACTGATGAAGATCTCAATGTAAAGAAAACAAGAATCCTCACCACTGGACCAATAAACAACATTCTTATCAATGAAGAAAAGATTGACGTAATCAAGGACTTCATTCTTCTTGGATCAACTATCAATACCTACGGAAACAGCAGTCAAGGAATCAAACGACGTATTGCATTAGAAAAATCTGCTGCACAAGACCTTTTTAAAGTGCTGAAGAGCAAAGATGTCAGCTTGAGGACTAAGGTGCGTCTGACCCAAGCATGGTATTTTCAATAACCTCTTAAGAATGCGAAAGCTGGACAGTGAATAAGGAAGACCGTAGAAGAATTGATGCTTTTGAGTTATGGTATTGGAGGAGAATATTGAAAGTGACATTGGCTGCCAAAAGAACCAACAGATTCGTTTTGGAAGAAGTGCAGTCAGAGTGTTCCTTGGAGGCCAAGATGACCAAACATCATCTCTCATACTTCGGACATATTGTCAGGAAGGACCAGTCGCTGGAAAAGGATAGCATGTTTGGTAAGGTGGAGGGTCAGAGAAAAAGAGGAAGACCCCCAGCGAGATGGATTAGCCAAGTGGCAGCATTGATGCACTCAAGCATGGCAACAGTAGTGAGGTTGGCCCAGGATTGGGCAGTGTTTTGTTCTGCTGTGCGTAAGGTTTCTATGAGTTGATACCAACTCAATGGCACCTAACAACAACATTGTCAACAAGAACACCTTCATCTATAATTTTTAGAGGACATAATTTTTAATAACCAGTGATTTAGAATAGTTCCATGGACAAAATAACCTAAATGTGTAATATTATTTTACAACTTAATGAATGTAGATTTAGTTATCAATTATAAATGTTAATTGATTTTTTATTTTCTTCTTTTTGTTGTTAGCAACGATTGTGTTAAATGAACTCAACTGGACAAGTGCCTTAGATGAAGTTTTCAAAAAAAATAGAGAGGAAGATCCTTCATTGTTGTGGCAGGTGTTTGGCAGTGCCACAGGCTTGGCCAGGTATTATCCAGGTAAGTGTTTCCTGATTCAGTAGGTATCAAATGAATACAATGGCTTTAATGTTTATTAAGAATACTCTATTACCTTCTCTTATAATGTAAGAAGATGACAGTTATTTCACATTACTTTTTAAAGGAAAGAATATCCCTATTTCCGTGGCTCAGTATTCATTAAAATTGCTTTAAGCCAAAACATCTGAAAAGTGACTGAAATGGTTAGGAGCATTGTCATCAGGCTAGATAGACTTCAGTGGAATCCTCGTCAGGTGTCCGTAGGGATATATCTGGAATGGGAAGTTTTATGAATCCTAAAATGATACTGTGATAAAGGTTCAGCTATTTAGCATACATTAGAGAACAGAAAAGGAATTTTAGAGACTATTTGAAATATTCTACCACTCGTCTGTTAGTTTTTCTGTACTATGGTGGCTTGTGTGTCACTGTGATACTGAAAGCTTTCAGTATTGTAAATACCATCTGGGTCATCCATGGTGTACAGGTTTCAGCGAAGCCTAAACCTAGACTGAGATAGACTAGGAAGAAGGAGAGGCAGACCAATTTTGAATGGGTAAACACTAAAATGAATGGCAGTAGAACATCAAATGATACAGTGCCAAAAGATGAGCCTCTCAGACTGGAAAGCACTCAAATTATGACTGGGGAGGAGCTTCCTCCTCAAAATAGAATTGACCTTAATATGGATGGGGTTAAGCTTTTGGGACCTTCATTGGCTAATGGGGTACAACTCAAAATGAGAACAGTTATAAACATGCATTAGTAACTGGAACTTAGAATTCAGATGTATGAAATATGAATATAGGAATATTATAAGTCTTCCAAATTGCAATGGCATGCATAAGCATCGATATCCTAGGCATGAACGAACTAAAATGGACTAGCATTGGCGATGTTGAGGCAGACAATCATATGGTTCACATTGACAAACCGAAATGGAATGGCATTACATTAATCATCAACAAGAGCACTTCAAGATGTATCTGGTGTTCTTTGTGATAGGATAATAACCATATGTTTATAAGAAAGACCAATTAATACTAATATTATTCAAATTTATAAACTGACCACTAAAGCTAGTGATGATGACATTGAAAAATTGCCAGCTTATTCAGTCTGAAATCAAACATGCAATAAAGATGCATTGATAATTGCTTGTAATTGGAATGAGAAAGTTGGAAACAAGTGGCAGAATCAGTAACTGGAAAATAATATGGTGTAGATGATAGAAATCATAGAATGTTGCAAGACCAGTGAGTTATTCATTGCAAATAATTTTTCATCAGTATAAAAGGTGGCTATCCATGGAACTAACCAGATGGAATACACAGGAATCAAATAAACTACATCTGTGGGATGAGACAATGGAAAAGTGCAATAGAATCAGCCAAAATAAGGCCAAGGGCTGACCGTAGACCAGTCCATCAATTGCTCTTATACAAGTTCAGAGAGAAGCTGAAGAAAATTAAAACAAGTCCACTGGAGCAAAAATACAAATGCCCCACCTGAATTTAGAGGTCATCTCAAGAACAGATTTGATGCATCACACATTAATGATCGTAGACCAGAGAGTTGTGGGATAACATGGAGAATTTCATTCAAGAAGAAAGCAAAAGGTCATTAAAAAGACAGAAAAGACCAAATTGAATGTCAAAAGAGACTCTAACACTTGCTCTTTAGTGTGGAGAAGTGATAACAACTGGTGAAATGTGAAAGTAAAAGAATTGAACAGAAAATTTAAAAGGAAGCTTAAGAAGAAAAAACAAAGCATTATATTGAAATGTGTAAAGGTGTGAAATTTGAAAACCAAAATGTTCAGCATTTCTCAAGCTTAAGAACTGAAGAAAAAATTGGAAGCCTTGGGTTACAATATTGAAGGATTTATGGGCAAGATATCAAATGACCCTGGAAGCATTTAAAGATGGAAAGAATACAGTCATTGAATCAAAAATAATTAGTCAATGTTTGTAATTTCAAGAGGTATCATATGACCAACAACCGATGGTAGTGAAGGAAGAAGTCCTAGATGCAATGAAGGCATTTGCGAAAAACAAGGCTCCAGGAACTGATGGAAAACAAATTAAAATGTTTCAGAAAAGTGATGCAGCACTGGAAACACTTACCGATACCAACATATTTGGAAGGCAGCTACCTGGTTAACTGGTTAGAAAAGACCCATATTAGTACCCATCCCAAAGAAAGGTGACTCAAAGAAATGGACCAGTCATTAAACAATACCATTAATATCACATGGAAGTAAAATTTTCCTAAAGATAATTTAAAATTAGTTGCAGAAGTATATTGTCAGGGAGATGCTGATAATTCAAGCCAGATTCAGAAGAGGACATGAAATTTGGCATATTATTGATGACATCAGATGAATCTAGGCTGAAAGCATTACAAGAAAGTTGTTTGTTGTTGTTGTTAAGTACTATGGAGTTGGTTCTGACTCACAATGACCCTGCACAGGGTTTCCGAGGCTGTAAATCTTTACGGGAACAGAAAATCTCATCTTTCTCCCGTGGAACAGCTGGTGGTTTCGAACTGCTGACCCTGAGGTTAGCAGCCCAATTCATAACCACTATGCTACCAAAGCTTATTTACTGCTTTAGTTGGGTTTATATTTAGGAATCAGTGATTCATTGAAATGCCACACAGCACTTCTTCATTTTAGATAGTTGTATTTAAAAAAAAAAAAGAGACAAATAAACTTAAAATTTGCTTCCTCTGCATATGACATTTATTCAGTGTCTTAATAATTATTTGTTCCTTCTTTGCCTTTTCCTCTCATTTATTCATTTCAAAATCATGGAAATCTGATGAAGACACCTGATGTATCTTGAATTTGTATTAATTAGACCTCAAGTTAGTATGAAATAGAACTCTGGGAGACATTTCTTTCTTGTTATATCTGCTAGCATATTGCTTGAATGAAATGCAAAATCTTGTGTAAAATGTGTATGATGTTACATTTTTTTTACATGAGCAACCAATTGTTCTTAAATTGTGTTAACATGTTTTGGACAAATAGATTAAGAACATTTTTAACCTCAAATAGTAGATGACAAAGAAATACAGATTCTTTCATTATTTTAATCATGAAAGGAATAGTTGCCATACTTCCAGTCATTTTGAAGAAAATTTGATAGCAATTAAGCTTCCCAGCCACCAGTCTTTGTTCGTCATACTGTGGCGGCTTGTGTTTTGCTATGATTCTGGAAGCTATGTCACTAGTATTTAAAATGTCTGCAGGGTCACACATGATAGACAGGTTTCAGAGGTGCTTCCAGACAAGGAAAGACCAAAAGAAAGGCCTGATGATTTAATTACAATATTAGCCAGTGAAAACCTTATGGATCACAGCAAAACATTATCCATGGCACTTGCTTTGGACATATCATAAGGAGGGATCAATTGCTGGAGGAGGACATCATGTTGGTAAAGTAGAGGACCAGTGAGGGATAAAGCAGTACCTCAGCTAGGTGAATTGGCACAACAGGCAAAGTAATGGAGCAGAATGTGTTGAACAGTATTAGGATGACATAGGCCTGCACAGCATTTCTTCTGCTATACATAAATTCTCCACGAGTTGGTGTCAGCTGTATGACAGATAACAACAAAAGCAATTAAGCTTCAACATTTATGGTATCTATAGTAGTATTTATGCTTTCATTGATAATTTATCTTAATATATACCTAATTTCTTTCAAGAATCCCTGGGTGGCTGAAATGGTAAAGCCCTCAACTACTAGCTAAAAGGTGATATTCATGAATGGACACAGGGTTTTAACAATGAATGCATTCAATACATTTGCTGATGACTGTATAACTAACCTTTAAATTGAAGTGATTAATCTACTATTTTAATGTTAATAACTATTAAAAAGTTTCATTTATTAGTTTGGATTATTATTAGTTACCAATTATATAAAATCCAAAACAGTAGTGTAGAGTCATGGAGTGTTGTTACAAACTGGTAGGGACCAAACTCCTAACTTGTTTTCCATTTGTGTGTGACCTCCACCTCAGGGTCCATCCATGCTAATTACTCTTCTTCCTAAGAGACAAAGAATAAAATTCCCTCTCTTTTTAAGAGAACTTTCTGAAAGTTCTCAAGGAATTTCCAAGTATTTGACATTGGACAGAATTTAGTCTTATGGTCACATTTACCTTCAAGATGATCATGTGTCCAGACAAAAAGCAGGAAATCAGAACTATGTCACTAAATAAGAAAGGAAGAAGAGATACTGGGGACAAAGACCTCTTAGTCAAGGTTATTATGAACAAATCTACGTTTTAAATTAAGTTGTTTCTGACCTCCAGAAAATGTTTATCTAATCAGAGAACCAAAACTTGCACATCTTTTATTTGTATAACAATGCAAATCATTAGATGATTAAATGTCAAATGAACTGGGCAGGCTACGGTGAAAATTATGCTACAGAAGTTTTAAAAATGAAGAGGTAATTATAGATTAGAGTCATAGGAACGATTTTTGTACTTTGACTTGAAAAATCAAGTCAGTGTACCAGAAAAGTCCAAATTTTTCTGGAGAAAAGAAAGAAACATAATAAAAAATTAGGGAAATAACAATTACTTTTGAAGCTAGTGAGTCCAGCTAAATCTAGCAGCTTCTACCCAAAGAAGAGTATTATCAGACAGAAGGATTTTTTTAATGGCAAATTATGTAGCCTTGAATATCAAAATGACTTGTTTGTGACATCATATATAGGTAAAATACCACTAACCTTTTGAGTAGTGAAGTGTTACCTTTACAGCAAAGCTTATATTGATTAGAAGGAGAAACACTTAGGGAAGCTGGACTAGGTTTGCTATTATAGTGGTCAGATGTGGAATTTTTAGTTAAGTAGGAATTATAATAAATTAAATATGATTGAATAGAAAAACAATGAGACTAAAAAATGGAAATGTTTTAGAATTAGAATAATGCATTCCAGCTTGTTCATTGGAAAGGCAATTAGTTGCTTAAGATGGTGCAATTGAGACTCACTCTTCAATACATCATTATTTAATTAATTATTTCATAACAACTGAAATGAAAACCTGATACTCTTACTGTCTTTAGGTCTTTTTAAGTAAAAAATGGCTCTATAACCTATGTAATTTGTTTAAAATATTTTTTATCTCATATTTGAGTGTGCAAAGTTAATGTACAGAAAAATACCTTCTTTAAGCAACAGTTTGATAACTGCTATAGTTGTTGTTGTTGTTAAGTGTTGTTGAGTTGTTTCTGACCCATAGCGACCCTGTATGTAGTTTCTGAGGAGCTACTGGTGAGCCTGAACAGCTGACCTTGCAATTCAAACTGACTTTACAGCCCAGAGCTATAGTACTTCCCTAAAAAGGACTGCAATTCTACTTCATATGATTTTTAGGGAAGTTCTGTTTAGTAAGGAGCCCTGCTGTAGCACTGTAGGATAAATACTGGAATGAAAGATTGTTTTGAACTGCACTGTCGGCGGTTCAAATGCACCAGCCGCTCCTCGGAAACCCCAAATAGTATCAATATGAGTTGGAACCGACTCAATGGCATTTATCAACAAGAAATTTGATAAAAAAAAAAAAAGCACAACCAAAGTTCACTTTTGACTAGGGCAATGTATCCACATAAATGATTATTATCAACTTTAATGGTGGCACTAAGAAATGTGATGCCCATAAATAATCCTACAGGGAGCTCTGGTAGTGTAATGGTTATTCAGGGTCAGAAATAACCAGCCGTTCTGCAGGAGAGAGATGAGGTTTTCTGCTCCCATAAAGCCATAAAGACTTAGAGTCTCAGAAATCCTATACAAGGGCGCTACTCCAAGGCACACCACCATGTACACCACCATAAATACTGTACTACTTAAATGCCACAATGGGATTTTATAAGAAATTAACTAGGAATATAACAGTTGTTGTTGTTGTTATTGTTAAGTGCCATCGAGTCGGTTCCAACCCATAGTGACCCTGTACAGGGTTTCCCAGGCTGTAAATTTTGACGGGAGCAGAAAGCCTCATCTTTCTCCCATGGAACAGCTGATAGTTTCGAACTGCTCACCCTAAGGTTCGCGGCCCGATTCATAACCACTGCGCTACCAGAGCTCCTTAATATAACAGTAGGCAATTCATTGTTTTATCTTCCTATATCATAAATATTTTGACTCAGTATAGTCCAGGGGGTATTATCATAGTAACTATCTCAGAAGATTTTGAAGAGACAATTATTAGCATTTTAAAATGTAGATCCTCTTTGATCATAAACTACGTTAAAAGACAATGTTTAATATTTTGAATTATAGTCCTATTTTATGTTTTTTTACAGGTAGAAATATGGATTATAGAACTACATATCAGTTAATTTAAAATAGCACTTATATTGAACAGAGAAATTCTAGGTGGACATGACATGTAAAGAATTGAGAAATCTAATTTAAACTTGCTTTTAGAATTTCTGTTTCATTACACTTTTTATGAAATTCTTTGACATCTTTCAATTCATGATGACTACTATTACATTGGCAGTAGTAACTAATCTCTCTTTATTATCATTCCTATGTATTTGTATCAGTTTGGTTCCAATTATAAGAGAGAAAACATGACATTTTGAAAAGGAAAAACATTATAACAGATTATTAACTATCACCAGGATTGGAATGATAAGGGATGACTAGAAGTGGAGAACTCTAAGTAATATAAGAATGGAGGAAATAATATATGTTAATTTATGATAATAGACACTGTTGGATAGGCACTGGACAGCTCGTTGCAAGGTTGGCATTTCAAACCCAACAGCTGTTTCGTAGGAGAAAGATCAAGCTTTCTGCTTCCATAAAGAAACCTTTACAGGGTTGCTATGAATCAGATCTGACTCGATGGCAGTGAGTTTGAGTTTGAAGTTATGCCATAAGCTGGGAGGGCAGTGGTGGCTCAGTGGTAGATCTCTCTCTTTCCATGCAAGAGGTCTGGGTTTGAGTCCAGCCCAGTGCCCCTCATGCACAGTCACCACCTGTCTGTTATAAGAGGCTTTTATGTTGCTAGGATGCAGGTTGTTCGTGAGACTTCCTCCAGGCCTGATGCCACACACGTCTTCATATAATCTAGCTTCTCGAATGATTTGTCCAACAGACAAATTGAATAAGTATGATGAAAGTATACAGCCCTGATGCACACCTTTCCTGGTTTTAAGACATTCAATAGCCCCTTGTTCTGTTCTAATGACTGCTTCATGGTCTATGTATAGGCTTCTCATGATCATAATGAATTGTTCTGGGGTACTCATTATTTGCTGTATTATCTATACCACCAACTGTGTATATTTGTGTGTGTGTCTCTATGCCTCTTCTTCTCTTTTCATAACTAAGAAATGATTGGATATAGGATTCACTTTATACTGGTATGGCATCATTAACACTAATAACAAAAAATTCCCAGGTAGGATGAAATTCACAAGTACAAAGACCCAGGAATGGAACACATATTTTGGAGGGACATAGTTCAGTTCAAACTAACTTATAAACTTTTACACTCATAAAAGTTCTTTGTGTTTGTCATGTTTTCTCAATAAATAAAAATAAATATTGGACAGTAGTGTATAACTCATTTGAATTATAAAGAGGAATTTTTCAAACAATAATATACCTAATCATGTCTAAGGATTGGGACTTCTTCAGCATAAAATTGTCATCCAGTTTATCAGCTATTTTTTTTTTTTTTTTAAGTTTTCATTGTGACCTGAGTGATAGTTTACATGGGAGAACATGGGCTTTGTACCATCACTTCATTGCAATGATTGCAATCTTCTCTGTGCATTATCACTCAACAGTATTTGCTTCCATGCCATTTGTTGTTGTTGTTGTTGTTTTGGGTTTTCTTGGGGTTGTGGGGGAATGTACACAGAAATACTCAAGAATATATAATTATTTAA